CACACACACACACACACACACACACACTCATTTCTGTAGGTTTACCTTATATTTAACACATACGCATCTCTGCTGCCAACATTCCTGTGAAGAAGCGTCCTATAGCGAGCGCTTTCTTTTGTCTCCAACAGAATATTACAGGAGCTCCTCATTGAGCCGCTCATGCTCTATTTCTCAGCATTATTTGCCGAGTCACAAAGTCAAAGGCTGCTTTGATGGCAGTCAAAGGCAACAATTACTTGTCGTATATGCTGTTTTTTTTTTTTTCTGCAGCGCGTAATGACTGCGGAGCAATGAGAGGGTCCCCAAAGTATAGGGAGAAACAGACCCTAACAGTGTCGCTCTGTAACACGGTGCCTTCAAAGCCTGGGAAACGTAGCTTAGCATCAGATGACAATTATTAGGTCAATATAAAACCCCAGTTCTAAAAAAGTTGAGACTTTGTGTGAAATGTAAATAAAACCAGAAGGCTGTGGCTTACAAATCTTACAAACCCATATATTATTCACAAAGGAACATGTGAAATTATTAAATGTTTAAAGGGGACATAGTAAAATCCACTTTTTAAACCGTTAAATGCATTTTGTTGTGTACTTGGAGTGTAAGAAATTTGAATTCAGTTTCGGTGCTGAATCAAACTAGAACGGACCGCTTTTTATCACAGTTTAATTTAAAGTTTTGAACTGAACATTTGTTGTGTTAACAGGTCGGCGTATTACACGACGTACAGACAAGTGTACAAACGGGATTATCAGACTGAGTACAAGTGTTGCCCGGGATGGACCCAGCTGAACAGAGAAGCAGGTTGTCTTTATCGTAAGTATTTATTTTAATCTCCTACATCAAATAAATCATTTCAATGTATTTGTGTCCCAAGCTTTTTCTGGACTCTCTAACATTAAGATTTCTGAATGAAAATCCTTCTAAAAATGATCAAGAGTCACTTTGTCCGTCCAGGCTCCAGAGCAGATGTTATCAGTTAGCATTGCATCCATTGTGCACATGTTGCTGCAACATTCAAACTAGAAGGGAAACAAAATCCTAATTGTTGACATAGTTTAAATGTTGACATTAGCTCAGAATTTAGATTTGAGTTGTAGTGTCTACTTCTGCACTCGGGGGAAACAAAAAGAAGAGGAAACCCTGCTTAGCATCTCTGTGCTGTCAGGACCCTGCAGAGCTGCTGTTGTTGCTGATGGAGACCGTGTTTGAGAATCGGTGGCTGCTTGGCTGGAATTCTTGCTGTGTACAGCCAAGCCCAAAACAAACGCGATCCCACATTCAGCTCTGTCTTCTGCAAAGCTGTGCAATGCTAACACAGATTAGATACTTTTATAACTGACATGGAAACACGGCAGCGGCCAGTTCGTTTCTTTGCCGCCAAACGCTGCCAAGCTCTCACTGAAAAGACCAGGTGCTGGTTTGCACACACACACACACAAAAGATTCACCCCCATCTCACTGCAACGCAGAATTTACTCTCACCAATCCCGATCTTACTAACGCCGCTGCTCAGAAACGTATGTGACAGCGTCCGTTTCACTGGCTGACCATGCACCGTCTGATTCCTGCACCCCACGCTGACGTCACAGCTTGGCTCGAGCCTCGACCAACGCTCCAGCCTGATCTCGGCTCAAGGGAAAGTAGTTGCGTCGGTCACGCTGAAGCTTCCAGCAGCTCATCTCTGTATGAACAGGCCCTGCTTTCACACCGCTCAGACCGAGGTTTCTTTGATGGGATTTCACAAGCAGTGATCCAGATCACACAGCCTGCGTACCGTGGACCGACCCCTGGCAAAGCCTTCCTGTAAACTGTTTAACTCGCAGCTTCTCGACTTAAATGAAAGCACTCGAGTTCTCGTCCTGCTCCCATATCTGGCTCGAGTGCTGGATGGCCTTCAGGATGAGGAAATGATTCTCTGGGGAGGCCCTCTACTGGGAGGTAGATGAGATGGCGAGTAGGAAAAGATTTTCTGGATGTTTCTATCATCGTGCATCCTATTATTGTCTCCTCCTCAAAGAGCTCTTTGTTTCCAACAAAAATGTGAAATTATACAATAAAACCGTCTGTGCCCCAAATGAGTCTGTTTTGTTTTAAAACACTCGGAAAGAAAAGCCATGAGGAGACATTCCTCTGTTTTGCTCGCCGCCTGTACTTGAGTTAGTCTGTTTTGCGTGACAATAGCTGCTCTTTCCTGTATGAGGCACGGCTTTTATCTCTGCAACCAAAGACGTGGCAGCACTTTGAGACGGGGACGAACTAATCACCCCTTTTCTCTGAGCCATTGAACCTGGATAAAAGGAAGCTCACACCGCAATCCTCCCACTCCTGCACACTTTGCTGCGCGCTATCTGCGCTGTACTTCAGTCAGCACGGACGCAATTTGTGTGGCTGTTTTTCGGCAGGACCTCCAGCATCCAGAAAGGGGGGGAAAAACTGCTTTGCAAAACGTACAGCTTTAGCTAATCCTCCGAAACCCCCCCAAATGGGAGGAATAGGAATGCTTTGTGTTGAAATAGTGATTTAGTGTCTGGTACTTTTGAAGTCTCTTTGTGTGCCCTGTTGTCACTCGTTCTCTGTGTGTGTGTACATTTCCCAAATAAAGTCAGTGTAAGCTAATTAGTCTAATGACCCCTCCTTAGGTGAGCTGAATTGAAGGTGCAATGATCTGAAGCTCTGTTCTCAGGTCAACCCACCGCCCCCAGCTCTGATTCTCCAGACAGTTCCTCTGTTTAACCCATCAGCTGCACAGAGGTTGACTTCTTCTCACATTGTTGTGATCCATACTTTCAGCTGTATAAGCTCTAGATTGTGTTTTTTTTTTCTGACATACATAATTAGTCACATATTCTTTTAAAAATAGAGTATACCACAACAAACACCGGCTTATTTATCTGCTGTTTCGTTGCACTAATTTGTCCTCCTCCATTTTGTTTTTCATAGATTTTAGATCCATAATGCCATCATCTAATTATACATGTTTATGTGGTTTTCATCCTCACAACATGGCTCAGAGCTCTTGAGTGGTTTTTAAATATCCAAGTTTTCAAATTTTTTTTTTTGGCGGGGGGGTGGGTAGTTGTTGCTGTTTTCGCAAAATATCTCACAAAACCTCTGGATGGATCTGTTCCAAAATAATCAATGGAAGTACATCTACATTTGGTTAGCTACGGCTTTCACAGCTAATCAAGCATARCCGAGACGGTAGTACCTTGGTGAATTTTACAAACATTAAATTAAATTGTGGTGCTCACAAAACATAAACCAAGGGCAAAAAAGGTCAGGGGAGATTATATTATTTTGTAGATTTAACCAAATTGGCTGCAAACTTGTTATTTCTAAAACCAAAAAAGAAAGCCTTAGTCTAAAACTTTGACATTAAGGCATTGGGTGATAGTCCTTCAAGGAATGCTAGGCTTTGTTTTAAATAATTATTGACTTTTTTTTCAGCATTCAGAGTGGAAGTGGAGGCAGAATGCGGTGGTGAAGCAGTCAAAGTGTCTTTTGTGTGTTTTGAAAAGACTTCAATTTGCTCACTATCTTTTTCTGCTGCGAGCGAAGGGCTCTTGACTTGGTGATGGCGACTTCCTCCACTTAAGTGCTTTGAGCACCAATCAGTCAGTGAGTTAAACCTTTTACTCAAGCGAGCGGCCGAGGGGATGGGCGAGGATGGTGTTGGGCAAGCTGGGCGAAGAAAACAGGCAGGTCTGCTGATTGGATGCGACAATCGGCTTTGTGACGGGGGCCGAGGAAAAGAGACAATGGCTTCTCCAGTTTGTCGTCCTCGTTAACTGCTGAATGGGAACCGGCCTCCTTTTGTGATGAGACCCGTGTAGCTACATGTGAAATAGGGCTACCGGCCAGAAAGAAGGAAACAGCCCTCTATCTATCCATGGGTGGTCTTTTACAGTACTGTGTAAAAGTTTTAAACCACCCTTTGGGGTCAGACTTTATTGTAATGCTTTAAAGTATTCCTGATCAGGTTTTCTGATGAACAAGCATGTGGTTATATCTTTAAAAATAGTAGGAGAAAAACAGCAAAGACCTAAAAGATGCTTTGTTGTTTAGTCTGTCAGCTACAATTTCAATTAATGTCTTTTGAAATGACCTCATTGGCGCTAAAAAGCTAATTTGTGTGTCAAACTGTGAAATTTTGATATTTTTTTAATAATCATAGTACCTTGTATCTTTGTGACAGGCACTGTTATTAACAATCCAATTTATAATAGGTTTGCTAAGTCTGTTATGTGTCATGACAACACAGATTCATTCATGGAGTTTGAATGCTTTTTTTTGTTTGTTTGAATGATTCAGAGACAGAGTTTAGGAACTTAACAAATGACAGATTTCATATTTCTCTTTAAATGATCACTGGAATAAATGGAATAAAAAAGCAGCCATTAAAAAAACAAAAACAAAACACAGGCAAGACTTTCAGAGGACCTGGAAACTCTTGTTCAAGACCACTTTAAAAGCAAGAAATTTTTTACAAAAAACAAGAATTTCGCACAGCATCATATGCGTTTGAGTGTACAGCATTGTAAAAAAAAAAGGCAACATTCACGTTGAACATGAGATGATGAAAAGCTGCAGATAAACAGACACAAACACTGAAAATAGGCTGTAAACAGCCAACCAGAGTGTTGTACRACAACAGTCAACTTATGGTTTCGATTGTTTGGTACCACAGAGCACTGACTGCGGGTTCATCTAATTAAATGAGCACTTCTTTCTCAAAAAATTTTAAAAAAGCCGAATTACGGAAATATTTGAGGCTCTGAGCCTCTTGAGGTTTTCTTGCCGTCATCTTTGCCAGCTGGAAGAACTCGTCTGATGGCGATCTAACYGAATCAGCTGTAATCAGGTTTGAATCTTGAGAGTAAATATTTAGTCCTGGTGAGGGGAAAAAAGTCTACTTCTGTAGTCGGGAACCTAAAGCATCCCAACTTTGCTTTCAAAATGTCAAGAGTAAAGGATCAGTTTGTGTCCACAATGATTGTTTTTATCCAGCATTCCAACAGCAGAAGACTCGTCTCAGGACCTGACAGAAATGAGCAGGTGTAGCCGCCCCTGAACGAACACGTCTTGAAATGACACATTCTGCTGCAGAGAAAACATGATTTGTTGCTGCAGAATGCAGTGCTTGGATCTGCRTTGTGCACTCACCAATTATGGCCCCAAGCTGAGCCCTGTGTGCAGGCCGGCCTTTATGTAAAGTGCCCTAAATGATTCCCCCCCGGCAGGTCACACTTGCGGTGGGTGGGGGTTTTAAACATATATACGAAGACTAAACAAACTCGGCGTTGATGTCGACATCCCGTTTTGACACCGGCTTGTCTTCCTTTCAGGGTCTTTGTGTGAGCTGTTGACCCTTGCTCCGTCTGATTCTTCTTTTTTGTGCGAGCAGCTAACCCTCTCAGAGAAGGTGTCTCTGGAGCAGGAACAGCCGCGAGTGAGTTTTGTGGCGCACTGCTCGCCACGTTAAGGATTTACTTCAGGGAAATGGGGCACGGGGTGTGGGGTGGGGGGCTGGGTGCTCAAAAATGTGCTGGTTTAATGCCAACAATCCTGTGTCTCGTCTCTGAAGCGGGAATGCGCCCCCACCACCACCCACTCACCCCACCCCCTTGTTGTTGCTTAGTCATGCCACCCTGTAGTGACTCTGAGAGACATCTGACCTTCTGCTGCAGTGCCGCTGATCGTTTTCATTGAAATCTTTTTAGGAATGTCTCATTAATTTGATCTCTCACAGCTGGTGATAACATTGTTCTAAAATATTTGGATCTAGTTGGAGCTATGCAAATAAACCGACTTTTTTTGTTTGTTTTTACCCTGTCATTGGTTACATTCACCCCAATAAAATTCCCCCTGATTATTTAATCATATGGATACGTTACAGTGGCATTCATGTTGTGGCCAAATAATCATAATGATGTGGGAACTGGAAGTCGCCAGGAGCAGATTTCCTGTGGTGATCTGTTCCTCCTGTTTGAGTGGAGTTTCTGTAGCTTCACAAAAAGAACGGAATGCTGCAGTAAAATAAAACATAAGCCTTATTTTATGGTGTGTTGAACCTCTGAAAACTGCTGTTGTGTGTTTTTCATACTATATGGAAGACGGTAAAAAGAGAAACTGAACATCAAATGGTTTTATGTATGTATATAATAAATTAGACAGATTATTTACTCCAGTTAATTATTCTAATTTACAGGGGATTAATGCTCTAAAATTATTTAAAAATTCAAGTTCTTGTGAGCAATTAATGCACGATTTGCAAAAACTGTGTGGAAATTTCTACCACTGTTGATGAAAACATAGTTATTAGCCTGGGTGGGTGTAAAGCACCTCATTTGGAAACAAAGAGACAGCCTCAATACGAGTTGATCTGAGACACATCTCTGAAAAAGGGTGACAGAGGGGCTTGTGGAGTTACAATAAGAAGGAGTTCAGACCAAAGCATTGCAGTTTCATTTTATATAAACCCCAACTGAATGGTTTAAGTATGTAAAAGGATTTAAAGGCATAATACGTCCACTTTAAGGCATCCTGTAGTTATTTCAGCATCATTCTACGTCTTTGTGCTCCACTTTCAGACTCAGGTGTCAGTTTGACCTCTGTTTTTACTTTTAGAGGTTTAAAAGTAATGAGATATCACTCACAAATAATTAGTAAAATCTGATTTAGGTTTAGAAATGACTCCAAGTTTTATATATGAAAGACACTTGCGACAATAAAGTCTTCACTATGATTTTTCAGCAATTACTGAGTTGTTTCGCAAAATTTGATATATTAAATTAAACTTATTTGAAGAAAATGAATCAAAGTCTTTCACAGACTAATGTAAAATTTTTACTTGTTGATTTCAGTTTACCACTGATTGTATATCTCCATGTATCAGCTTTATGTTTAACGATGATTTTTTTGTTGGTTTTCCATCAACTTGCATTGCTGAGTCTGTTTAAACTTTACTGAGCAAACTGAGGCCCTCACCATGACCATATAAAGCCATTCGATGAGATTAGAAAGGGCATTCAGCTCTCTCTTTGATGAGATTACACGAACAGAATCTCATTGCTGGCAGATGATTGTAATTTAAGATGACTTTCAGAGGAAGGATTTTTATTTGTACTTCTGTTATGATTAGCTCCAGTTTGTTCTTCTCTTTTTCCACTCCCACCGTCCACATGTTGCATGAGCAACAATGAAAGGATGTCAGTCCTCTGTTCTTGTCAGAAAGAAACACAGAGTTTTGCTGAGGAGCGTGCAAAACCCCAGCTTTCTATAAAAAGCTGTGTCATACCTCACGTGGTCAGTAGTCTCAACACAAATCAGATAAGAAGGGAAACTCAGGCAGACGTGTGTTTTGTATACAGGCTGTCACGGTTGATGAATGTTGCATGAGTTTATGGAATACAATGATTTATACACCTCTTTAGAAGTTACCTACTTGTTCTCACGTTCTGTACACTTATGTGTCTTTATATTTGAAGCAACTTCTGGGCAGATTTTCTGCTCTTAAGGGATTGGAAATCTGTGGAAATGGGCCTCTTTTTATCTTATAACTCACCCTGGCACATCTGTTCTATCATACTTTGTGACAATGAGTAAAAGTCCAGTCAGTCGCTCTCAGGAAATGTTCTTCGACATAAAAGTTTAATATAAAACTGACCATAAAACGCCTTTGTGCAAGCTGCTGCTGTCAATTCTGACACAACACGGATGCTGTGAACATGTTAGCATATCTCTTTAAGCTTGCCAAAAATCTGCCTCTATATTCCAAGCCAAGTGGTAAATTCCTCTTTCATTGGTTAGTGTGAACGGAGGAGAGTCGAAGTCCTTCTTAAGACAGCAGTTAACAGGTTGATGATGCGTTTTTGATGGAATAAGGTCAGTGTTTGAAACCACAGGTGTTGAGGCCTCATGAAAACAGCCAGGTGTTTTTTTTTTACCACGCTCACACATTTGTTCTGTCTCTTCTCTCCTACCACCCCGTCTGTGTGTGCGCGCACGATGCAGCGACGTGCAGCTACGGCGTGTGCTTCAATGGAGGTCGGTGTCGAGAGGGATCGACCCTGCTTTGTGACTGTCCTGCAGGGTTCGCCGGGCCCAGATGCCAGTACGGTATGTAGAAACATCTGTGCTGTGATAAGTGTTTCTTCTTTTAGTTTTTAAATACATTTTTAGATAATTTTTTTCTTCTTTACAGAGTTAAAAGTTAATTTAAAACCATCACAGAAAGTTTTATCACGAAATATATGGAAGAAGTGTTAGCATGCCTTTCATCTATTTTGGCTACAGGTTCTGAAACTGAACAGCAGAGTTCCCTTTTTACACAAAAAAAATCCCTTTTGAGTTTCAACTCAAGTCTACATTTCTGCTTATGGAACTCTGTTTAAGTGTCAGAAGGAATGGCCTCACATCAGCAGTTGGCTCGCCCAAAATATTTTATCTGCACACTCCATTGTTGAAGTTGTGCTGTTGAAGTAAAACAGTGGACGACTGTTGTTTTTTCAGACAGCTCCACACGACAGGAAATTCCTTGTTGTGTCAAGCTTGTRCCGGCACTGTCCCGAAATGTGTACCCTCACACCCCCACCCCACCCTCAGTCCCAGACACTACTGAAGTTTGTTGCTTAAGTTTTCTAGCGAGGGAGCCTCAGACGATCAAAGTTTCTTCTTGTAATTCTGCATCTGTAATCCTTCACGTTCACATCTAGTCGTTAATCAAAGCCCAGGGAAAGCAGAAGTTCGGACGTCTCTAATCCCTTCCTTTCTGGACATTAAAATCTAACATTGCTGTTCTGCACTGTGAATAATGACGATCAGAAATGGGCACTTAGGGATCGTACAAGGTGGAGAACAGTGTAAAGGAGCCCCCCCAGTTTTATGGTTCGGTGAATGGCACTGAATGAACCACCAGATGATGGTGTGGCGGTGTGGCCTGACCAGGAGCAACATTTGTGTTGACATAAGTCTGGAGAACACTCACAGGTGCTGATTTTTCAGGGGGGTCTGCATAACTGCGAAGTGTAAAGCATATAGCATAATGGAGAAAGAGAAGCAATGTCTTTTTTTAATGAAAAATAAGCGATGACTGATAAATTTCTCAAGCATTGTGAAGATTTATTTAGTGGTCCAACACATACCAGTGCGGTGTTGCTGTCATGCTCTGTGGTTGAAGTTGTATTCATGTCAGAGCCCTGATCACAAGCCGACATAAGATTATATTTATGACTGTAATTTACTCGGCTGTCACTCCCTCTCTACTTGTGATATTCTGAAGCCRCGCTGAGTTGACGCGGAGCCTCACATCACACAGATCCACTCATCATTCACTCACACCAGGCACTCGCAGCAACATTCCCCCCTCGGTCACATGTGGCGGTGTCCCTTTCTGATGTGGTTCGTCCATGTTTGCGTGCAGCAGCTGGGCTATGTTTATGTCATTCAAAGGGGCCAATTACTCTTCCACTCACACAACTTGTCTGAAGCCCTCATCTGTTTTGCTTTTTAGCAGCGTTGCGCCACAAAGATGTGTAAGACAATAATTACTGTTTTTGTGTTTTGGTGCCTTACCTTTTGTGGTGATGTAAGAACTTTAGCCCGGGGACCATTCTTATCTTTTGTTAACAGAAAGTCACGTGCAGCTGATAGATGATTATTCATGTCAGTCATGTTGTCCTATATGAACTTAATATCTGAATTAAAAGTTCTTGGAGGTTATCTAACAAAATATTGTTTTAGGCTTGTGTTGGGTATGATGTTCTCTCTGTTTTTGTGTCGGGGTCCCTTTTAACATTCTTGTCTGTATCAAACAGGATTTAGTTTCTTGGTGTGTGATGCATTTGGTATCCAGTCTGTCAACGATACAGAAGTGCTTTCCTCTGAAAACAGCAGCTTCCAAAGCATTCAGGTCTCAGGCAGGACACGTCTTTACGAAAGCTGACATCTGGGCTCAGCAGCAGACGCATAAATAAACAGAATGACTGCTCAACGCACTGAAAAACAAAAGTTTGCTCAGAGTATAAATACTGTTTTTTCTCTCACGTCGTGTTTTGTGGAAAAGAAAAATTAATTTATGTGAAAATGTAGACTGAACGGATTAAGTAAAAATATTTTTAAAATTTTTAAAAATGTCGTGTTAAGAAACGGGGTAGGATGATGGCTCAGTTGGAGCTGCTCTCGGCAAGAAGGTTACCCAATCGAATCCTGACCTGGAACCTTTTTGGGTTGAGTTTGCATGTTCTCTCCGTGCTTGTGTGGGTTTTCTCTGGTTTCCTCCCACAGACCAAAAACATGAATGTTAGGTCAACTGGAAACTAAATTGTCCCTAGGTGTGAGTGAGTGAGAGAGAGAGTGGTTGTCTCTACAGTATAAGACTCTGTGGTGGACATGCGACCTGYCCAGGCTGTACCCCCCTCACACAGGCCCTGTCCCAATACTCGCACTCCCACCCTCGTTCCACCCTTGTGCACTTCAAATGCGTGTTTACGTTGAAGGGTTTGAGTGCATCGTGTGTCCCACATTCTCCACATCTGCCCTTCGCCAAACCCATTTAGGGTACATTTTGGGTAGTGTATTTCACACAATTCATTGCTGCCAAAACAGCGACCACTTTTTTAAAATAAATTTTTATTGAACATTCAAACATGGTACAAAAAATAACAATGCTGCCAGGGGGAATGAAGAACTATAAATGAAAAAAGAGGGAAAATGTTTAAATATATGTAATAATAATAATAATAATAATAATAATAATAATAATAATAATAATAATAATAATAATAATAATAAACATTAAATAAAATGATTACACCACAAAAAAGAACCAGTCACGACAAAGTTAAATCAGGAATTCCAAAAAGTGAACAAGACATTGTAATTTGTTTGCCTTCTGATTAGTAGAGAAGTGAATAGATTTCATATATTGTGTAAATTCAATCATGAAGGAGATAAAATTTGTTTCTTTCTTTAAACATTTGCTTTTATGTATATGAAATTTGGCCTAACAGCGACCGGTAGCTATCGGTGTTTGATGACGTAATCCGTACTGTCCCAATTCTCAATTGTTTTGCACGCTTGTAACCTGCGCACTCGAACACTTATGTGCACTTCRACTGWRTCCACACTTCACAGAGGKGCGTAGGGTGCGCACTGAGCATTGGGACTGGGCCACAGTGACTGCTGTGGGCACCAGTGACCCTCGTGACCCCGAAAGCAAGAACAGCGGGGGAAAAAAATCATGGATGTAGTGGTTGTTCATTGTTGCCATTCATTGCAGTGTTTTTAAGCAAGTTTGAGAACAAGACATTTGTGAAGAAGACAGGAAAGCAGAGAGGTGAAAGGTTGCATTTCCAAAACTGGCCTCATTTGTAGCTAATTGTAAAGCATATGAAAATGAAGACTGACTATTTTTTGCATTTGCTCATCCGGACTGACAGTGATGGCAGAGAGCAGCAGAGACACAGATGGTGCTTTTGTCAGATGGGTCATGCTGTTAAACAGAACATCCAGTTACAACATGAGAAACCATTTCTCACCTGCTGCTACCCCTAAAGCTACAAAGCTGACAGCCTGGGATTTTTTTTTTATCTTCGTATTGTATCTCTTCTATTGATGTTAAGGATCAGTTAGGGATTGAATCTGATATTTCCTTATAGTCTGCTGGCCTTTGTTAAACTCTGAACTCTGTGTAATTTAACATTTTTTATAAGGAATTAATAAAAAAAAATGAAGAAACACTGATTTACCAAAACACTTTAGTTTACTGCCGTTGCCCCTTTCTTTGACTGAAAAAAAGGTTTGAGTTTATTTTTCTGAAAGAGTAAAAGACATGTGGAAGAGATCCAAAGTTGTCCTTAGTAGTTTAAAGAGAATGAAAGATTTAGAGTTTCGCTAACATTGTAATTGGATTACAAGGTTGCTTTGATTTGTGCAAATCTGTCACTTTTACGATGGGAACTGTTTCCTGTTTTTTTGAATGGACTGCGAATGTGGCTGGTTAGGTTGAAATACTAAAACACTTCTTTAACACACATTTTCTGATGTTTTATTGATTATAAGCATGAAGGACTGTAAAGGCATGAGATGCTGATACACCGAGATGTTCAGCTGCAGCAGTTTGTCATCCATGACTGGTGGAGTTCAATGAAAAGGTCCAAAAGGTGTTGGATAGCAGGGTTTGGTTTCTAGCACACTTGTTTTATATACTTATAAATTACCCATTTGGACATTAATGGCTGGTAATGGTGTTGTAAGTGTCCACAAAAGGATAAGCAAAGCCATTTTCAGGCGGTGATTCTCAGAATTTCCTGTTTTCTCTGTGACTGATTTAACAGCTTACAGCTAAAACAGATGTGAAAATGTTGAAGCCTGCTTTCTTACTTTGCAGAGAGAATTTATGTATTTGGTTCTGACCTGGAAAAACACAAACAGAAGGTGAAAAAGTTAAAGCTAGACCTCTTTGGGGAACAAATTGAGGGGGGTGACAAAGGCATGTTGTTCATGATTTTTCTCTCCTCGGCCATAAATTGGAGTCAAGGAGGTTTTGTCAAAGTTATGAATGAAATTTAGTTCAAAGGTTTAATCCTTCATCTTTTGAGTGTTAATGGTCAGAACTCCCACAGAATGGAAAAGAAAGGACACCTTAGTGATGGAGGCGCTGCAGAACACAGCCTGGAGTTTTCTCACACATTCTTCACCACTTTGTCCTCAACCTTTGTGTCTCAGTTTCACTTTATTTCTTTGCATCCTTGTCATTTCCCGGTTTAACCTTTATTTCTCAAATCAAAGACATTTGTCTTACAGTAAAGATTCATTCTTCTCTGTTTAGGGCAGAATCATTATTTGTAACACAAACTAAAATGTTAAAACACTTTATCATTTGAGTCTATATTGTTAATGATCTAAAAGTTGCTCGAACTCGTTTCACTCTGTAACAAGTGTAGGATTCAAATTCATCTCAGTAAACTGTACCTTTTTTACAATATTTAATTAAATCAACTTTTTTAAACAAAATTCTTTCAATTGTCATCAAAACACAGGTAAATAAAAAGCTTCTTGCATATACAGTGAAAAGCCTGTTAACATTTGTAGCAATTGTTTAACGTCTCTTTCAGGCC